GGGCCCTGCTCTGGGCTCAGCTGCACAGGGGGGCTGGGCGCCCACACAGCCCCGGGGCCCGGCAGGGGCTTCTTACCGTGTGTCTGTTCGCGCCGACGCCTGGCTCATCTCGCTGTTGGCGATGAAGTTTCTGATTTCAGAGAAATAGGAGTCTTCCTTCTCGTCTAAAAGTGCGTGGGTGTCGGACTCAGAGGTGGGGGAGGAGGCGCTGGTCCCCAGGTGGTTCGTGAGGACCCCGGAGTGCTGGCTCACTGCGTGGAGGGGGATGGGGGACCCTCAGCTGTACCACTCTGCTCCCCACTGCTCCTCTCCCCACTCATCGCCCCATCATTCAAGTTCTACCCACCCCCACCCTCATTTCGGAACCACCTCCCGGGGCTGCCTGCAGGCGTGCACCTGGGGTCTTCTCACCGGGGACCTGCCCTCCTGGGGTGTGTTCGCCTGGGGCCTGCTCACCTAGGGCCTGTTCACCTGAGGAGTGCTCACCTGGCGCATGCTTCCCTGGGGGTGCTCCCCTGGGCTATGCTCCCCTGGGGGTGCTCACCTGGGAGTGCTTCCCTTGGCTGTGCTCCCCTGGGGGTGCTCACCTGGGATGTGCTCCCCTGGGGGTGCTCCCCTGGCTGTGTCTCCTGGGCTGTGCTCCCCTGGGGGTGCTCCCCTGGCTGTGTCTCCTGGGCTGTGCTCCCCTGGGGGTGCTCCCCTGGCTGTGTCTCCTGGGCTGTGCTCCCCTGGGGGTGCTCCCCTGGCTGTGTCTCCTGGGCTGTGCTCCCCTGGGGGTGCTCCCCTGGCTGTGTCTCCTGGGCTGTGCTCCCCTGGGGGTGCTCCCCTGGCTGTGTCTCCTGGGCTGTGCTCCCCTGGGGGTGCTCCCCTGGGCTGTGCTCCCCTGGCTGTGTCTCCTGGGGGTGCTCCCCTGGGCTGTGCTCCCCTGGCTGTGTCTCCTGGGGGTGCTCCCCTGGGCTGTGCTCCCCTGGCTGTGTCTCCTGGGGGTGCTCCCCTGGGCTGTGCTCCCCTGGCTGTGTCTCCTGGGGGTGCTCCCCTGGGCTGTGCTCCCCTGGCTGTGTCTCCTGGGGGTGCTCCCCTGGGCTGTGCTCCCCTGGCTGTGTCTCCTGGGGGTGCTCCCCTGGGCTGTGCTCCCCTGGCTGTGTCTCCTGGGGGTGCTCCCCTGGGCTGTGCTCCCCTGGCTGTGTCTCCTGGGGGTGCTCCCCTGGGCTGTGCTCCCCTGGCTGTGTCTCCTGGGGGTGCTCCCCTGGGCTGTGCTCCCCTGGCTGTGTCTCCTGGGGGTGCTCCCCTGGGCTGTGCTCCCCTGGCTGTGTCTCCTGGGGGTGCTCCCCTGGGCTGTGCTCCCCTGGCTGTGTCTCCTGGGGGTGCTCCCCTGGGCTGTGCTCCCCTGGCTGTGTCTCCTGGGGGTGCTCCCCTGGGCTGTGCTCCCCTGGCTGTGTCTCCTGGGGGTGCTCCCCTGGGCTGTGCTCCCCTGGCTGTGTCTCCTGGGGGTGCTCCCCTGGGCTGTGCTCCCCTGGCTGTGTCTCCTGGGGGTGCTCCCCTGGGCTGTGCTCCCCTGGCTGTGTCTCCTGGGGGTGCTCCCCTGGGCTGTGCTCCCCTGGCTGTGTCTCCTGGGGGTGCTCCCCTGGGCTGTGCTCCCCTGGCTGTGTCTCCTGGGGGTGCTCCCCTGGGCTGTGCTCCCCTGGCTGTGTCTCCTGGGGGTGCTCCCCTGGGCTGTGCTCCCCTGGGGGTGCTCCCCTGGCTGTGTCTCCTGGGCTGTGCTCCCCTGGGGGTGCTCTCCTGGGCTGTGTCTCCTGGGGGTGCTCCCCTGGGCTGTGCTCCCCTGGGG